TGCCACTGAGCTGAAGAACAACAGCTACAAGTTGGCCCGATGGACCTGCTGCGCTTTGCTGGCTGGATCCGAGTACCTCAAGCTTGGGTGAGAGTCTCGTCTGGGAGTTGTGAACTGATCATCTCCTGGAAGGAGGTGTCTTCGGGCGGGAGATGAGGGCTCATCGTTTTCTTTCCTTTGGGAAAAGCAGAGGCCAGGCGTCCCCATTTAATTGCTATGTGCCCCCAAAAGTCCCTAGGCCAACCTACTACACTCCATTCCCCCAACAGTTACGTGTCCCGGTACCATGTGAAAGACTCCTCGCGCCACGTCATCCTGGGCACCCAGCAGTTCAAGCCCAATGAGTTCGCCAGCCAGATCAACCTGAGCATCGAGAATGCCTGGGGCATCCTGCGCTGCGTCATCGACATCTGCATGAAGCTGGAGGAGGGCAAGTACCTCATCCTCAAGGACCCCAACAAGCAGGTCATCCGCGTCTATAGCCTGCCCGACGGCACCTTCAGCTCCGACGAGGACGATGAGGATGAGGAGGAGGAGGAAGAAGAAGAAGAAGGTTTGTATAAGTCTTTTGTGAAGTCTCTCGTGAGCAGTGGGCTGGCTAGGGTCCAAGCTCTGTGGCCACCATGCCCGTGAAGGTTGATGTAAAACTCTTTGAGAGTTGCCGGAGACTTGGCGGAATTTGGAGTGGCATTTGCTCTGGCTCCGGGAGCTGCTTCAAGAGCCTTCAGGCCACATGAAGGGGATGGGGAGGAAGGTGGCCTGTTAGGGGCTAGGGTGCGGAAGAAGCATCTGGAGAAAAGCGATGCAAGTCCCCTGTGCTAGTGGTGGGCTACTGGCGAAAAGCTGCTCCAGGGCCGCTATACGGGCTTAAAGGTCCCTTTCTGTCTTCACCAGCTGGGATAGAAGGAAGTATCTGTTAGTCCTGTGAGGATGTGAAAGACTTGAGTTCTGGGTGGAGGTGGTGAACGCAGAAGCAGATCACCAGCTTGATGTGGCTCAGAGGAAGAAACTTTGTGTCTTTCAGAGGAAGAAACTTAACCCAGACAGTGATGCGGAGCTGGAGTTCGTAAGCCCGCCGAGCCTGGGCGGGCCTGGGGTACCCGGTGAACATTCATCTGATGCCTGCTCTCTAGACTGGTGGAATAAAGTTTGTCACTTTAGTCCCTTACGCTCGTCGCGTGCCTCCATTATGATTGACAGCCCTGCTTCCTTCCCCGGGGAAGCCCGTAGGAGAGGGTGGGAGGCAGAAGTTTCTGTGTGGAGTTCTCTGGGTTCTGTCACTTGTTCTTGAGCATTTTTTGTTCTACCATCCTGTTCTTGGAACCCCGTGAAAGTATTCTTTCCTGGAGAGCGGTGTCAGTTGTGAGGCCCCATAAGAAGTCCACATCTGCAGGCACAAGGGCCTGCTCGTCACGTGCCCAGCCAGCTACTGCCCTTCAAGACACAAGTCACTAGTAAAAGGTGAGGCAGGGCAGCCCGTGGAGGGCCAGCTGGGACTGCTGCTCAGGGGGACTGCACAGGGGGCCTCTCGGTGGCACTCACGGCGGTCTGTAAATCGGTCTGTAAATCGTTTTCAGGCTGTACTTGGGCTGGTGATGGTCTCCAGATGGTACCCTCAGAGCAGTACCTTACCAATCAGAGCTACAGGTGTTAGGAAATGTAAACTTTAATTTGTATTAAGAGCACTGTTTTTCATGAAAAGGATAGTGTTCTGTTCTTGACACTAGTTACTATGAAGTAATTATCCTGCCAGGTGTTGCACTAAGCTTTCCAGAAATATCTGAGCCTGACACAGAACGTGCAGATGAGACAGGCTCAGCTTTTGCTTGACGTTTCTAAAGTTACTATTTTAATCAAAATAATTGTGCCTCAGAAACCAAGCAAAATTTGGAGTTACTAGGAAGGTAGAGCATAAAACATGTTTACTAAGGAGTTTTTCATGTAGGTACAGTGTTTAAAACTACAAATTATCCCTGCCTGGTGTGGCTCAATGGGTTGCACGTTGGCCTGTGAACCAAAAGGTTGTCGGTTCAATTCCCAGTCAGGGCACCTGTCTGAGTTGCAGGCCAGGTTCCCAGTTTAGGGCGTGCAGGGGGTAACCAATCCATGTTTCTCCCTCTTTAAAAAATAAATCTATTTTGAAAAGCAAAAACTGTGTATGAAAGAGGCGTGACGAGGACTGAGCGGTTTCAGAGTCACCAACACCAAGCTGCCACTTGCAGCCGCTTCCGATGCCGCCCAGCAGTGTGAGCTGGGACAAGTGAGCGTTGGAAGTTAGCTTCACACGAACTCAGAACATTTTGCATCAGCTTTCACATACTTCACTGCTTTGATCTGTCTCCCGCTTTCCTCTGGCCTGTTTGGGCTACCAACTTGATTGCCGAAGAGTCCTGTCTCCAAAACCTTCCGCAGCACCCTGCTGCCCACCATTGAGGCTGGGCCTGGTCTCGAGGCCCTGCCACACTCAGCAGTCCAGATGTCCCACCGCCCACCAAGTAAGACCAGCAACTATTGTAAGTACTCAATTATTTGCTAACTCCCACTCTCGAATCTTCACAACTGCTAAGCAGACCTCCCTACTTCATTTTTGGTTAGGTATTTCGCCTGCCCTGGCTGGTGTGGCTCGGGATTGAGCCGGGGCCTGGGAACTGAAAGGTTACTGGCTCGTTCCCAGTTAGGGCACACGCCTGGGTTGTGGGCCAGGTCCCCAGTTGGGGGTATGCAGGAGGCAACCGATGGATCAGTGTTCTCCCTCCCTCTCTCCCCCTCTCTAAAAGTAAATAAATAAGACAGCATTACAATTTTTAAAATGCTCATACTGGAGAAGGCACTGAGGTCATCATAGTAAGGTCATTTCTGCTCTAATGGCGCTTTTCTCTGATGCTGACACAGGCTGTGAAAATTACAGGTAAGTGACATTTGTTAGTGATCTCTGGTCTGACGGGTCAGGAAGACTAGAGAGATTTTAGCTACTTTTTTTTTAAGTTGATTTTTAGAGGAACATCAATTCATTGTTCCACTTACGTATACATTCACTTGTTACTGCTTGTATGTGCCTCACCCTGGGATTGAACCCACAACCTTGGCATATCTGGATGATACTCTAACCAACTAAGCTACCTAGCCAAGGCTCAACTACTTTAAGATTTTATTTATTTTTAGAGAGGGGAAAGGCAGAAGAAAGGGAGAGAAACCAATCAGTTGCCTATAGCCTACCCCCAGCCGGGGACCTGGCCTGCAGCCCAGTCATGTGCCCTGACCAGTAATCAAACCCACGACCTTTCAGTGTATGCCATGATGCCCACCCCACTGAGCCGCACCAGTCAGGACCAGCTACTATTTTTAATGAAAAGAAGCTCCAGCCATGCAAAGCTAGAGACTATTAAGTTCATCCCATACTAGGCTTGGCTGCCCTTCCATGAGAACCCCCAGCTCCATTTCACTGCACTCCTTAATGCTTCTCGAAGGTTCCTATACTTCCTTTATAAATGCACCATGTTCTACCCTCGTAAGTCTTAATAAAAATGCTGACAGGTTTTACCATGATCGGTCAGGGTCTGTAGGAGGAACTGGGTTTATAGGGCTTACCACACCCTATACTGAAAGAGCTCTTTGGTGGTGACTGTTCCCTACCCCTTAACTTCCTCTTTACCTCTATCAATTGCCCCTCCATTTTAGTCTGGTTCAGTGTGTGCACAAGGCCTGCCACATTTTTCATAAATCCTTTTGAGGAATTCCCTACTTGGTTCTGTGTTCAAGTGTAGTCTCATGCAGGCCCCACACTCCACCTCGGCGAGGCCAGCTGCGGTCCTCCCTTGAATGGCAGTTCAGCATCACCCTGCCATCTACGCTGCCTCCACTCCAGCCACACCGCTGCTACGTGTTAGCAGTGGGTTTATGTGTCCTTATCCTGGCCTACCATAGGCCACTTTGTTTACAATGTGATTCATGAATGAATAAAAACATTTTGCAAAGAGCTCATAATTGAGTATTAAAAAAAGGAGACTTAATTCCAGGCTCCACTTTGTGTGTGATATTACGTAAATCACCCCAAACCTATGGAGGTTTTGGCCAATGGCTACGAAGTTGGAAACAGGATCATTGACTACCTCACAGCTGGCGCAAGATCAAGTCAGTCATGAATGTTTCTTAATAAACATTAGACTGAATCATCGAATAGACCGAATCACCGTTGTGTCCAAGTAAGAACTTCCAAACCTGCGAAGAATTACTTGAGCCAAACAGAATATGCCTGGAAGCGAGATCTTAACAGACTGAGAAAAATGCTTCTCGGAATGAGTTTGCAGCTTCTATGCATTTGGTGTTGAGATGGGGAGGGACAGTAAGATTACAGGAAGGTGGGAGGAGTAAGGCCGGGCTCACCAGATGAGTTAAAAGTACTCTCTCTGGAAGGCGGTTTCGCTTGAGCGGTCTGAACACAGGCCTTTCAACGGTGTGTTAACCTAGGTGCACAGGAACAATGGGCAGGGCTTGCTTAAGGCAAAGATAAACCTTTTACTAAAGAACTTAAATGCCTGGGGCATGACTGCTTACCATGACCCACCCAGTTAGGAATTTATCGGATCAGCCTGTGAGGTCACTTTCTGTAGAATCCCTTCCTAGTCCACTTTGGCAAACACTCGTCAATTGGTTTGTCTGTCCTGGCTTCACCAACTTGGTTTCCAGGCCCTGGAATCTGGGTAGGCAACTTGTCTTTGCTTACATTAACGGGAGTGTAAGAGATGGAATTACCTCCAAAAACAATCTGCTCCTCCTGCGCCTCGCTCACAAGTGAAAAAGGACTGGGTGCAAACAAGATCCCCGCAAGGGTGCTAGAATCAACTCTCCCGCTCCCTCCCGCAGCCGCAGCCGCAGCCCCAGCCCCAGCCCCGAGGGCCGCACCTGCGAGCCCCCCCAGCGCGGCCTGAGGACCACTGCAGGCCCACCGCCCGGCGTGCTGCGCGTCACGCACGTGACCCCGCCCCCCGCCATTGGCCGGGCAGGAGGCGGGGCAGTCTTCGCGGCGCCAACCCGCTCAGCCCACTGGGGCCTCACTCTTTGCGTGCTGCCTGCCGAGCCGCTGCGAGGTGCGAACGCTGGGAAGGGGAGAGGGTCGGTCGGCCAGGGAGGCCCGAGCTGCGGGCGTGGGCACCGCGCACGCGCGGGGAGCGGATTCGAGAGAGGGCGCGCCCGCAGGAGGGTGGCCTCGCGCCCGCGTGACGGCAGGTGTGCTGGGCATCTCTGTCTCGTGACCGCAGAATCCCGGGCACCTGACTTGGGTTGGGGTCCGTGCAGGCCACACCTCCTTCAGGCTCCAGCCTGAGAGCGGGGGCGTGGCCAAAGAGACTTAACACCGCTAGAGGCTCCTCCAGTCTGCGGAGGGCTCCAAGGGGTGTTGGAGGTCCTTCAAATTGGGGAGAAAATGGGGGAGCACCCACCTTCTTACCACCATGGCGATAAGAGGGCCGGTGCTCCGGAAACCGAGGCCCCGAAGGGGATGGAGGAGCTGGGGGTTCCTGGAGGGAGCTCCAGATCCAAGCTGGAAACACTTCCCTAGCTAATGAGCTCGGAAGGCCTTGGGTTCTGGTCCTGCCTCCTCCCCAAATAGCAGCGAGCGCTGAGGCAAGCCTCTGCCCCTTTCTAGGCCCCATTCCTCACTCATTCCCCGGGGGCCTCAGGCCATCCTGGGCCGAGGCCGCACTCACCTGGTCTGCCGCAGAATGGGCCTCTCCACCTTGGCCCCGGTGTGGAGTCCCCCAGGGCTGCTCCTAACCATCGCCCTCTACCCGACTCTCACTCTGTACCCTGCTAAGGCCTTCACACCCCCACACCTGGACTACTGTGTCCTGGGCGCCGGGCCCGCGGGCCTACAGATGGCCTACTTCCTGCAGCGGGCAGGGAGGGACTACCTGGTGTTCGAACGCGCCACGGAGCCAGGCAGCTTCTTCACGCGCTACCCACGGCACCGCAAGCTCATCAGCATCAATAAGCGGTACACAGGCAGGGCCAACGCCGAGTTCAACCTCCGCCACGACTGGAACTCTCTGCTCAGCCACGATCCCCGGCTGCTCTTCAGACACTACTCCGATGCCTACTTCCCCGATGCCAGCGACATGGTGCGCTACCTGGGCGACTTCGCGGCCAGGCTGGGACTGCGCGTGCTCTACAATACAACCATTGCCCACGTCACTCTGGAGAAGGATCGGCAGGCCTGGAATGGCCATTATTTCATCCTGACTGACCAGAGGGGTCAGACGTACCAATGCAGGTAAGGAATGGGGTCCCAGACCTCACCTGCTGAAACTGGGCCCTTTCCAGGAGGAACTGGCAGTTCGTGGTTGTCCGGTTGGGGTGGGGGGAATGAGAGAAGTCTGCCACCTCTTGCTCCCACTGAATTCAGGGCTAAGAGGTTTAGCTTAGCCACCATTTCCCACTTGTGTCCTAAAAAAAAATTGTGCTCAAATATGTTTGGAAAATACTACCAATTCTTTCCTCCAGGATTTGTCAGTCTAATAGCTTCATATTCATTGCTGCCCTCCAGAAATGCTGGGTATTTAGCATTGCCTAAGCCACAGGTGCCCAATCTCGCCCTCCACCTTGTTTTATCCGGCTGGCACCGTGTTTCTACCCAGCAGCAGCGCCGAGCTCTCGCTTAACTGTTAAGGAGCAGTTACATTTATACAGTCCTAAAATTACACTCAGCCCTTTGAAGGCAACCTCAAGGCTGATGTGGCCCCCGGTGAAAATGAGTTTAACACCCTTGGCCTAAGCTTATGTGCCCACAGAACCCTTTTTGTAGAACATCTCCAAGAATGAGTGTCCCCCAGAATACATCCTGAGAAACGCTGAGTCTGGCAAGTGTTAGAGGGGCTCAGTGGGACTTCGAAACTGCACAGGAGGGAGATGGCCCTACAGTCCAGGCTTCTGGCATTTAGTTTTAGCTCAGTGTCGTGCAGACAACCCAAATTCAGAGTTGCAAACAAAACTGCACTTTTTTATCCTCACCAAAACCCTATGGGAGAGGCTCACTGATACCCATTTTGCAGAAGAAGAACTGAGGCTCAGAGACGTTGAGTAACTGGGGCTGTGTCACACGGCTTTTTAAGTGGCATAGCCGCAATTTGAGTTCATATCTTACTGACCCTGCAGCCTGTGTTCTACCCGCTGCACCAGCATGCCTCTCACTTCCTGGCCATTAACCAAGCACCTGGCTCCCGGCAGGTGCTCAGAGTTCATCATCCCGTCTTTTGCTGGTCCGTGGACCCAGGGAAAGAAGGGGTGAGCCGCTATTTAAACAGCTGTGCTACAAGGCAGGGGAGTCAGATTTGAGCAGAATGGACAAGAGTCGAGATACGGCGTGACAGGGGCTGCACATGCCCCTTCTCCAGGCCAAACAGTCTGTTGAAACCACCCTGTGATCAAATCATTCTGCAGTGTGGCAGGATCCAGTTCCCCAGCCGCCCACCACAGCCCTGCAGACCCCCCGATATAAAGAGTACGGCTTCGGAATCAGGCTGATCTGGGGTCAGAGTCTGGCTCTGCTGTCCCAGGAGCTTTGGACACCGGCCGTGGGCTGTCTCCTCACCTGTAAAGCTGGCCACATAACACCAGGGAGGGTCGCTTTGAGCAGAAAGATGGTGTACAAAACCTCACAGAGCCTGGTAGAGAATTAGCTGCAGCAGATGTCTGCATCTACCAAGCAAGTCAGAAACAGGAAAGTGAAACGAAAAGTCTCATTTTCATCGCCGAGGGTGATACTTGGTCTGACTGCGTGTTTAGAATTGGATGAATTACTTGATTTTTCATGGTGCCACCTTCTCCTGTCCATCGGATTAATTCTCATATTCGGTATAATCCCAGTGAGGGCTGAAGGAAACTGTGTCTGTGGGGAACTAGGTCCACGGGAGTGAACTCAGTGAGGGGCGGGAGCAGCCTCACATTCACTGGGATGGGTCAGTGAGTGAATGAATGGATGAGTGAATGTACTGTTTCCTTTTAGGAGCCCAAGGTCTGGGTCATGTGGGCAAGCCAGGTGGCAGGTCCAAAGAGTGATTGTCACTTAGTGTCTTACAGCTGAGAGACTGAGCCAACGTCCCTTTGTCCCCCACTGCAGTGTCCTCCTTGTCGCCACCGGTTTGTCAGTCCCCAACCTGGTGGACTTCCCCGGCTCTGAATACGCAGAGGGTTACGAGTCTGTGTCCGTGGACCCCAAGGACTTTGTGGGTCAGAATGTGCTGATCCTGGGCCGAGGGAACTCAGCCTTTGAGACTTCAGAGAACATCTTGGGTGTGACCAATTTTATCCACATGCTAAGCCGCTCCCGAGTCCGGCTCTCCTGGGCCACGCACTACGTGGGAGACCTCAGGTATGGCACGTGGCTATGGCTAGTACAAGGTGTGCTCTAGCCCCTCTGAAGCCATTCCTGACCCCAGCGGGACTGACCACCTGTGCCTCTGAGTCTCCTTGCACCCAACACAGACCCCTCTCTCTCTCCTGCCATGTCCCGCGGGCCCCAGGGCTGTCAACAATGGCCTGCTGGACACCTACCAGCTGAAGTCCCTGGACGGGTTGCTGGAGTCCGACCTGGCAGATCTGGCTGTGGTGAAGGACCACAAGGGCAAGTTCCACATCACCCTGCGGTTCTATGTGGAGGAGAGCAACCAGAGTGCCGAAGCCATCACCCTCCCCCAGGATGACAATGACAACTTTGCCATGCGAGTGGCCTATGACCGGGTCATCCGCTGCCTGGGCTGGAACTTCGACTTCTCCATTTTCAATGAGTGAGTCCAAGTCTGGGGGGAGCTGGGACCCCGTGGCAAACCCGTCCGAGACCGCCCTGGGGGAGCGGTGATGCCGGCACCACTGGTATCAGTGCCAGCACCGGCGCTTTCAGGGCTCCCCCCTCAGCCTGGGTGTGGATGCTGCCCGGTGTCCCCCACAGGCATGAGCTCCCTGTCTGCTGAAAAGGGTCCCAGTGGTCCTGGCCCCCCCCCACTGGAGCGGCAGCAGCAGGGAGCCTTCGATTGTTGGGTGTGTTGGGCTCCTGCACCAAGAGATGGGAAGGCGAGGACCAGGGGTGGATTAGCTGACAGGCAGTGTGGCGGCCAGGAGCCCGGGCTCTGGGGTCGGTCTGTGGTTCTCTTACCAGACCTGTGGGCTCCGGGAGAGTTACCAAGCACGCCTGGCCCCAGTTTCTCACTGCTAAAATGGGGGTCGTAGTTGTTGTTTTTTCAATAGGGCTATTGTGGAGAAAAATATAGAAAAGTACTTGGCATATACTATATGCTTAATAAAATGTTAGCTGCTGAAATTATTGGTAATTTTATTTTGAAGAACTGCTCTGTGGCTCCTCATCTTTAGACATTGCTGCCTTGGCACCTTGGCAAGGCTTAGGGTCAGAGAATCCATCCGGGGTCTCACTTTCCTTCTGGCCAAGGCACAGGTGGGCAAGAACCTAGAGGGTCTGAACCAGACCCTCCTGTCCCATCTGATCACACACAGAGCCTAGTCTTATCCCAGAGCCCAACCTCAAGTCAGGCTTGAATCCTGACCTTGGCCTTAACCCACTGCATCTTTTCCCTGAGCCACAGTTACTCCATCTATTCAGTGGAGATGATTATGCCCATTTCCTGGGTCCTGGTATGATTTAAATGCAATAAGGAACATAAAGCATTTAGCTCAGTACTAGGCCTGTAATGTGTTTCATGCGCAGCAGTGATGTTAACAACGCTTTCTGCTCACAGGTCCCTCAGGCTGTCTTCAGGGGGTGAATTCAGCAAGAAGTACCCACTGATCAAGGCTAGCTATGAGTCCAAAGGAAGCCGTGGTCTCTTTGTCCTGGGCACGGCCAGCCACTCTGTGGATTACCGGAAATCTGCTGGGGGCTTCATCCATGGGTTCCGATACACAGGTGAGCCCGGACAGAACCATCCCCGGGGTCAGTAAACACTCTTGCGATTTCCAGCAGCTGCCAAGGGGTTGCTCATTAGTAGTCAGTTGTTATATATTCTGAGCCTGGAGGAGATGGCAAGGGGTTTCCGTGGTCTGAGGATTTGTCTGAAAAGGCATCAGATAAAAAAGCATGTGATCTGGGGTGGCATGTTGTGTGCCTCCGCCCTGTGCGGGTGAGGCACCAAGTACCGGTAAGAACCCTGAGCTTGAGGAAAGGTAACCTGGGTTCCGCCCGGGCAGGCTGGCCTCATAGGTCAGGCTTCACCACCTCTCTAAGCCTCGTGGGGTACCCCAACATCCAAGGTGTGAATGAGGTGAACCCTTGCCCTCAATGGGCTGCTGTGAGGACTAAATAAGGTCATACCTGGGGACCGTGCAGCTGTGAGGCAGCTCACACACACGGTTTTGGGTACCAACATATTCCAATAAGAATTGCAATCGGATTATGTTCTTTCTTTTTCAGAACACTAGGTACTGAGGATGTAAACGTTCTGTCCTCTGGGTGGGCTGTCGGGTGGGTGCTTTATCGCCTGGTGAGTGTTGTGTGGGCCAGGTAATTCTGTCACAAACACCATAAAGGTCCTGCATCCTGCACTCCGGCATGCATCTCTGTGTTTAATTTGATGCCTAGCACTGTCTTGATGCTCATTGTTGCATTTCGCTGCCCTCCCAGCACGGCAGGGGAAGATAATCACCTTTTACTGTTGATTTCCAGGCAGTATTTTTGCACCTCACATGTGCCATCAGATACCAGGGAGAGTGTTAGCTGTCCGTACCTCAGAATATTTGCGAATTGATAGGTGTGTGCACACATGCACATGCGCACACAATGGGAAGAGGGGCTCCTCAGCCGAGTCTCCCCAGTAAGACACCCTCTCCATCGCTCAGTACACGCTACCCTCCCTGCAACTGCCCTGGCACACGCCGCCCCACCCCTCTTGCTCCCTGCTGTCCTCTGCCCTTTCCCAGCTCACACTTAATCCTCACAACAGCCCCATAAGGCAGGTTCTGTTATTTCAACTCTATTTTGCAGTTAAGGAAACTGGAGCACAGAGAAGTTGAGTAACTTGCTCAAAGGCACCCAGCCAGTGGATGGCAAAGGTGGGATTTGAGTCCACACCTGCCTGACGGAAGGCTCACAGCTCACCGCACCGCTACAAGCAAATGAGAAACAGTCTAGGCCACAGGTTGCTGTGGCCACTTCTGCTAGCTGAGGGCCCACGTGGGAAGGGGACAGGGCGGCTGTACACAGCCCATTCCACCAGGACCTTGCTCATCATTCAGCTAGAAGCAGGTCCCAAGGGAGACAGGAAATAGCTGAGGCAAAGGGAAGCCACAGGAGATAAAAGACCCCCGGGCACAGACCACCCCAGCAGAGGCGGAGAGGCAGGAAGCCCCGCCCACACCCCCATCTCTCTCCAGTCCCTCCAGCCTCACTTTCCTGGGTTGGGGCTTCTCTGTCTCTTCTGACTGGTCTTCCTGCCGCTGGTCTTTCTGGCTTCCCATCGCATCCAGACACTGTAGTATCCACCAAAGCAACCTTTCGTTAAAAAAACAATCCTTCCTCTGCTTACAGACCTTGAGTGGCTCCCCATCCCCACAGGGCGAGCTTTGCCCTGGCCCACGCCAGCCTGCCTTCCCAGCCTGGTCCCTCGCCCGCCTCACAATGTGCCACACTCTCTCGAGATTTTGTTGCTTGACATATGTGCGCCTTTTGTCACGGCACCATTCCCAGACCCCTAGCTGTGTAATTTCTCAACCTTTTGCAAAACTCAGCTTAACCACGGTTTCCTCCAGAGAGCCAGCTGTCTAGTGAGGCTGTGCGTCTTGCTGTGGCTGCTGGCCTGCAGAGTCCCTGTCGCGTGAATTGTCTGCGTCCTCGCCCTTATTGCATTTGGGCATTGTGTTGATGCATTTCGGAGGAGCAGGCGCCTGTGTGTGGCGCCCCAATTTTACAGCTCTATGTGGCAGCCCCAGGTTCATCTCCCCTCACGTAAATATAGGGAGCACCTTGAAATAGAACTTGACGACAGATGGGATTTAGGCTGCGGGGAAGAGCAAGCAGTCAAGAGTTTTCCCACGTGGGCATCTGACAGGCAGGGACGAGGCAAGGGGCGCAGATGCAGAGAAAGGCTCTGGTCTTGTTGTGACATCCACAGGCACAGGCAGTGATAGCCATGGGACTTCCAAGTGCAGGTGGCGGAAGGTGGGGGGTGAGGGGCGGGGAAACACTGGCCTGGGCACCCAACCCAGCCACGCCCCTGCCCTTAGCTGTCCTTGGCTGCTGCTTCCGCACCAGAGGCAGAGCCGATTGGTGCGGCAGACTCTGTACAGCCGAAGGCGCCCCCTTCTGGCCTCTACAGATACCGCTGGCCGACCACACTCGGCAGCTTGGCGTCACGCACGCAGTGTGGACAGAGTTGATGGGGACCTGTGTCCCTCCCGATGTCAAAAGATAAATTTTTTTAAACTTTTTTTTTTTTTTAGAGTGAGGGGAAAGGAAGGGAGAAAGAAAGAGGAAGAGAAACATCAATGTGTGGTTGCCTCTCCCATGGCCCACACTGGGGACCTGGCCCACATCCCAGGCATGTGCCCCGACTGGGAATCGAACCACAACCCTGTGGTTCACAGCCCGCGCTCAATCCACTGAGCTACACCAGCCAGGGCACAAAAGGTAAATTAAATTCTTCAGCACAGTGTGCTCTTTCTTCCTCTGGCCATTTCAGTGCGTGCTGTTCACCGGCTACTGGAGCATCGCCACCACGGCGCCGCCTGGCCCTCCACCGAGCACCCCATCACACAGCTGACCAGCTCCATCCTCCGGCGCGTGAACGAGGCTTCTGGGCTCTACCAGATGTTCAGCGTGCTGGCCGATGTCGTGCTGCTGAAGGAGTGAGCCGCCCACCCCCCCCCCCCTCTCCCCTCTGCCCGCCTCACCACTAACTGAACACTCATCATGCCCCTCCTCTTCCTATTCCAGTTTGGGGAGAGCCCAGGGGTTCCCTCCTACAATGAAGCCTGGGGTAGGGGTAGGGAGATGGATTTATTCTGGAAAAACCACCAGTGAAATCAGTACCACATGCTCTACAGACAGACAGTCCTGAGTGCAAATCTGTGTGACCTGGAGCACATCAGTTAGCCTCCCTGAGCCTTTGTCTCATCTGCCAAATGGAGAGTGTAGCGCCGACCTTGCAGGACTGTAGGAAGGAGCAGAGGGAACTCTAGGAAGCATTTGGCACCAGTTAGACCAGCGGTAAGCTGTAACACAGTGTGATTTAAGAGTTCCCTGGGGCCAGGACCCAGCTGGCTCCTTATCGATCAAGTGATGGAGGAACCCTGCTGAGCAGGAATCAGTGTAGAGGGCTGGAGGGCGAGGACTTCAAAGGACAGGTGGCAGGTGAGAAGCAGAGGAAGAACAGCCTGGTCCAAAGCCAGGGAGCATGGCAGCACACCAAGGTCAGGGACAAGAAATTCAGCAGAGCTCAGCACAGAAGCCTCCCATCATCCTTCACCCCCGCTCTTTCGCACCCCTTCCCCACATTCGGACTCCGTAAGTCCCATTGGCTCCGCCTTGGAGGTACCTAGAATCCGACCTCCTCACAGCGGCTTTGCCACTGCCCCCTTGGTCTGGCCCACCAGCATCTGTTACGTGCATGGGTACAGCAGCAGTCCACTCTCATCATGGTGGCCCAGGGGGTTCTTTTAGTACATGAGTCACACAAATTCATCTCTGCTCAGTACTCTCCAGGGGCCAGCTTTCCCTCAGGCCAGATGAAACCAGAAGTTCCCTTCACGGCACACACAAGCCCTCCTTAACCCACCCCCATGGACCTCCCTTCCCCCCTCGCTGCCCCTCCCCCTCAACTCCACTCCAGCCACCCGGCCTCTTCCTGTCCCTGGAACACACCAGGGCATTCATTCACCTCCCCCAGGGGTTTCTGTTACTCTTCGCTTGGCCTGGATCCCCTCTCCCCAACAGCCACGTCAGGTCATCAGTTCTCTGCACCCGCCCCACACGTGAGTCAGGGCTCAGCTGTGAGCAGCATTAACATGGGGCGTCCAGGCTGACCGGAGCCTGTGTACGGTGTGATATCGCTTCTGGGGGAAGGAGTGTGCGCACACGGGCCCACACATACCCGCCTCTCACCTCTGCCGCAGCACTGAAGGGCTCGCCCTCTCGCTTTGCCCCATCCCCAGGAATGCCACAGCCTACGAGTACCTAGAGGAGTTCCCCGTGCAGATGGTGGCCCAGCTGGAGGCAATCACAGGGAGGAAAGCCAGGCACGGGCTCTTCGTCGTCAACATGGAGTACGGCAGAAATTTCTCAGGACCTGACAAGGACGTCTTCTTCTATGAACGGTCCGTGGGGCACACGGAAGACGCCTGGCGGTCTAACTTCCTCCACCCTGTCATCTACTACTACAGGCGCCTCCCCACCGGTGAGCTGGGTCCCTGCTGTCCCCCACGTGGGCTGTCTTGAGGTGGCACTCCCAGGGCCCTGCCGTGTGTGGAGCTGTCACCATTAATCCCTCACACGACACTCAGCTGACAGAGTGGACCATGGGGACTCTGTCCAGGGGCCAAGTGGGACACAAGGTCCAAGAATGATAAGCGATGTTCCCAGATTCTGGTCACACCTGGAGTGGCGTGACCGCCAGGCAGCACACAGTAAGAGGGACACTGTCCTGCTGTGTGTCTCCAAAGGGGGCCGACCACGGAGTGGGAAGGGGAGACTCGGAGACTGCTGGGAGGAACAGGGAAAGGGACCGGAAGGGGTTAACGTGGGAGTGGAGCAGTGGAGGACAGCACAGCTGGGGAGTGCTCCCGGGGCTGTCCCTTCCTTGCTGTGTAAACTTGAACCATTCCTTAATCTCTGAGCTTTAGCTTCCTCATCTGTCAGATGGGGATAAAAACAGTACCTTCCTTCCTTGTATGAGGATAAATGAGGCAACATACACAGAATATCAGCACAGAGTAGCTCCCAAGAGATGAACCACCAGGGAACCCGGCTGCTGCTTCAGATCTGGAAGGGCCGTCACTCGGAGGAGGATCCAAAAAAGGGCAGAGGCGGTATCAGCAGGCGGAGGGGACAGGAACGCGGGAGCGACTGACAGCGCCGCCCTGCAGTAGAACGGGTTGCCTCCTCGAGTCAGGTTCCCCAGCTCGGGGGTGCGGGGCCACGGCCCGAGCCCTCTGACAGGGACACCAGAGAGGGCCATCCACAACAGGTGAGAGATGGACTAGATGGGCCCTAAGACCCCTCGGGGCGGGACCTGAGCCTCTTTAGAGAAAGACCAGTTGTGAAGAATCCATGATAGACCTCAGTCTATGTGAGCCTTAGAAAAACATCAAGGTCAAGTGATTAGTCTTAGTCCTGCCCTCTGATACCACAAGGGACAAGTCTAGTTTAGTCCTGCTCCCTCATGCTAACGTCCCAAACATTCAGAGGTGGCTGTGGAACGAGCTGACCACAGCCAGTGCAGAGGTGTAACGGGCAGGCCGAGTGTGAGTGAGAGGTAGACGGTAGGTCATGGGCAGGGACCGCACTGTGGGGTCCAGCAGGGGAAGCCCGGCCGCTGGGCTCTGACGTGGCCCTGCCTCTCCCCCACAGAGCAGGACGTGAGGTTCCGCCCCCCTCAGTGGCCCCTGCCTCGGCCCACGGCCATCCATCACATCGTGGAAGATTTCTTGACAGACTGGACCGCCCCTGTGAACCACATTTTACCTCTGAGGCGCTTCCTGGAGAACTGTTTGGACACCGACCTGCGAAGCTTCTATGCAGGTAACTCGAGTTCCCAGAGGAACAAAGGGCCTGAGCCAGGTGTTGGAAAGAGACCAGATCGGTCCGTGCCCTGGGACGTTTCGGGATGCATGTTGGGATGCATGTTGGGAAACGTCAGCCCAAACCTCCAGTTCCTGCAGCGTGGTGGACTAGGCGTCACAGAAAGCCCTCCCGGTGCAGCACGCGTGGAAACACCGAATAACGTGGCTTTCGTAAAGAACTGGCAGGAAAATAAGGGAGCTTTCCGGGGTCCAGATACTCAGAAAAGCAGAATCCGAAGCCAGGTGTGGGTTGCCTGCTGTCCGTCAGTCGGGTAGGGCCAGGGTAGCTGAGAGCACTCGCAGATGGGAAGGCGAGGCTGGAGCAGGGAGACAGGTCTGTTCGGAGACCATCTAACAGGCCTGGACCGCAGTGGGAAAGCTAGGAGGCGGGAACACGCCCAGGACGAGATGGTGGAGACTGTGGCCCTGGGCGGGTCGACTGGGGAGAAATTGCCCCTGAGCGAGTCCCAACTGCCGGGCCTCGCTTGTGGGAGTTTGGGGCCGACCCACACGTGTTCACTGCGGCTCAGAAACCACGGAAGTGACTGAGAGCCTTCTGTGTGGAGACACACTTTAAAGCCAGGCCTCAGAAAACTCCCACAGGTCCAGTCCCAGGAACAGGAACTCCGGGGAGCAAGTCGCTCAGCACACACGGACACAGACCACCGGGGGGGTAGTGTCGGCAGAAACGCGGCCGGGCTCCCACCAAGCCCCCAGCAAGCCGACTGTGGGGACTGGGTGGCCAGGGAGAGGACGCAAAGTCCGTCCAACAGAGGTGATGCCAGGGAAACAAGACGGCCGAAAACACAACCAACGGGTCAGTTTTGAGAAAGATTCACATGAAACTTCTGGAAATGGGAAAAATTAGCATTTAGAAACTCAACATAGAGATGTAGTAACAGATTAAACAGAGAGGAAGAGAGACTTGGTAAACTGGAAGATAGTTCAATAGCCAAACCCGAAGAGGGACCTGGGGAGAGCCGTCTGATAATCCAGAAGGAGAACTGATGGAAACAGGCAAGATTTTGCCTTTTTTATCCCCCAAGTGCCTAGAATAGCCACACTTTTCTGTTCAGCAAACACCTGTTAGGGTCCTACTCCCATCCGATCAGGCCGGAGACAGCCAGGCCTGCCGGTCAGAGAGCAGTGCCCTTGTCTCCTCCCTGGGTGACACCCCCAGGCCACACTTTGAAATAAAAATGTATGTATTAAGGGAGATGGCTTAAAACAGTAGTTTAAATTAGTAGCCTAAATACATATAGATGTTCCAATCAAGGTAATTCATAGTTAGCATTCTGCAAACTCCCAGCTTACACACAAAATTACACGAGGTCTAGAAACCTCAGCTACGAAATCCCCGCCTGCGTCTGGAGGTTTCAGGTGTACACAAAGATGCCAGGACGCCTTAGGGGCTCTATTCCCACCCCGAGGTCTGGCTCCTACCAGTGCATCGTCCAGGCCCTTCAGCTTCCTGGCTCCCGCTCCCCACATGCAAACACTCAACAATACGGACCACTGTGTGTCACTGCCTTGAACTTGGAAGAATCCTTCCTGGAGAAGGGCCAGCTGCCAGATGGTGGGCTTTATCTCCACCCCCTTAGCTGACGTGCAGCTGCCAGTCCTGGCCCCGGGTTCTGAGAGGCTCCCCTGCCCCTGGCCTCTGCAGAAGGCCATGCTTGTGAAAGGCCACCTTGCTGCCCCTCCACCGTCCTCCCCCCAACACCTGCTGTCCTCCCCACTCGGAGGGATTGTGGGGGCCGGTTCTGCCAGGGACCCTCTGTGCTGTGAGTCAGAACAGAAGTGGGGAATGATACGTGTTTGTGCAGCAGCGTGAAAGCCTCACAACATCCTTTGCAATCAGGGGTGGGCAAAAGCGGGTGTACAGTTGCACTGTGACACTCTTCTGAGTTAATACAGCTATTGCGGTAGCATAACCTGCGTGCCCTTCTCCCACACAAACAGCTGCAAACCCACGGTGCCCACCCCTGCGTGCCCACTCTCTGAGATGAAAGGCTCAGGCTGGTTTTCTGACACGCACTCCATCTTCCCTCTTTGTTTCTGATCCCTCAGAAGACTGAGCCTCTCTCCGTTTCATCTTTTCTACTTTTTAAATCAGAGTTACGTAATACTTGGCGGGAAGGCTTTTCCCCCACCCGTTCTCATCTCCAGAAGCAGCTGCTTCCAGCTCTTCTGGTGGCGTCTTCCTATTTCTAAATAGTGAGTAACCACGTGCGTTCCTGATGGGTCAGATTCGACCTATGCACCCACTGCTGTGGGGCAGACACAGGTAAACCACAGATGCGGATGGACCTGTTTTGTCTTTTTTATTTTAAAAGATTGTATTTATTTTTAGAGGACAAGAGAGGGAGAGAAACATCAATGTGCAGTCAGTTGCCTCTTGCATGCCCCCAGCTGGGGACCTGGCCTGCAACCCAGGCATGTGCCCTGACTAGGAATCAAACTGGCGAACTTTTGGTTTGCAGGCTGGTGCTCAAGCCACTGAGCCACACTACCCAAGCACCCATTTAGTCCATAACCCCCACAGTGCTGAAAACAGGGCTTACACACAGCGTTTGCCACTCTGATGTTGCTGAGGGAATAAATCTTTGCAGGCAGCTCTGACCTCAAAATGGAATGAAGGGCCACTCTCTAGCTACTGAGTCCCCACCCCAGGCCGGCTCCAGGCAGAGCATCCTGCTGGAACCAGCCTCTGGAAGCTGAGTCATTTCTGTGGTTTGCTTTCATTTTGGAGCCTTGTTCTTCCCACAGTCGGGGCAGCCTATTCCTGGAACCTCTGAAGGGGCTGATTGCGTGGCCACTCGGGTCCGAGTGAGACACCCAGAAAAGTCGGCTTCGGGCTCAGGGATGGAGGACCCTGGGGGAGGCTCCTGGGGCCCTGCCAGCTCCTTCCTGCTCCTCTCCCCACACCTCTCAGCCTGACTCATTCATCTTTGGCTTTTCTGTAGAGTCCTGTTTCCTGTTCGCCCTAACACGCCAGAAGCTGCCGCCCTTTTGCCAGCAGGGGTACCTGAGAATGCAGGGGCTGGTGGGAACCAGAAGCCTCCTGCAGCACAGAGTGGACAGCGGGCTGCTGCGGGACTCTGCCACTGCGGGCAGGCGCACAGAGGACAGTGGCCAGTGGCCTGGCTACCACAGGCCAGGAGATCAGCCCCAGGCTCCAGGACCTTTGGTCCAGCCCCTCAACAGCAACAAGGAGGAGCTGTGATGCCCAGGTTCCCCACCTCACCCTAGGCCCACAGTCAGCCTTCCTTCCCCGCAGCCTCATGCCCCCACCGATGTGATTGCCAAAGACCACTCGGACAATAGCAGGGGCTGCACCACAGCCACACAGAGGGCACATAAAGGCTAAGGGTGGCCATGCAGCAGTCTCCTCCCCTCCTGTGGCATCCATAGGTGCCTGGGAGGTGGGGCTCACAGAAGGGCACCCTCTGCCAGGTAGGAGCAGCCTTGCACAGCTGGGCTTGTAAGTGAATGGTCGCTGAGCACCAGGCTGCCTCAGTTCTGTCTCCATCAAGTGCCCGGGGTTTCCTTTTCCTTCTGGTCTGCTCTTCAAATGGGCCCAAATGCCACCCTTCAGGGGGCGTTTCACAGGTTAGACCCATCATCTTCATAAGGGTTTGTAGCAGGCTCTTTTACACAAGAGCTCTAATACCCTCAACCATCTAGGGCAGGTAGAAGTAGTACCTCTGATGAAGACACCAGCTCAGGTTAGGTGACTCCCAGGAGTCCCTGTCTGGGTGGCTCTACAGCCTGTCCCGCCACACCACACCAACCCCATCTGTTTCCTGAAAGGGGTGGGGAGGAGCTGGGCTCCTGGTTATGGGCCCCGCGGCTCTTACCAGGCAGAAGGAGCCACCTTATCAAAGCAGGCCTCTCCCTGCATAGCAGAGCCTGGAGCGGCCTTCCCAAGGCTGCACGCCTGGACTTACCTTCAATCTCTGTCTCCTTTCATCTCATCCTGTGACACTCTGAACACCCCCTGCCTCTGGCCGATCAAGTTCTGTAAAACCAGCACCATACTGTCCTTTGGCGGGGATTCTTAGGAGACGATTCACTCCTGTTTGAGCAGAGCTCCCCCTCAGCTTGTGCAGAGACATTTATTTGTTAAGTGCATTTGCACGACTACAATGATGAACTTGAGTTCCTGGTCCCCTTAGCTGGTCTGGCTCTTCTCCATTGTCCTTCCTCACCAGGAACCTGTTCCCTTCTTTACCCTCCCATCAGACACTTCAGCCTGTTTATGAATGAGCTACAGGAAAGCATCGTACACAAGGGAATCCTGGCATCTTTCAAGACCCGGGATCCCAGGTGGTTGCTTTCTCTCTGGTTCTTACTGGCCCTTCATGTAAAGCATTCGGAATTTGAGGGGCCCCACCTTGCTTGCTCCGAAGCCATTTTTCTGGGACTGTTCTCCTGGTTAAATCCAAATTTCCTTCCCTGCACCAAACCCCCGCCTGCAGATGCCTCTCCCTCCAGTCTTTTGCAGTTAGAACAATGAAACTCCAGGCGCCTTAGCCTGCTGCAGATATTTACTCCATGACAACACTTGGCAAAGTTTGCACGCAGCTAAAACTAAATTAAGGTGTCTTTCTAATCCCAGGGCATTGGTACAGATTACAATTAAACCAAAATTGAGCCCATCAGCCCATCTTTCCTTTCTAAAACCTTTTTTTTTTTTAAGATTTTATTTATTTCTCTTTAGAGGGGAAGAGAAGGAGAGAGGAAGAGAAACATCAATGTATGGTTGCCTCTCGTGCATCCCCTGCTGAGAACTGGCCTGCAACCCAGGCATGTGCCCTGATTGGGAGTCAAACTGCAGTTGTTTGGTTGCCAGGCCGGTGCCCAGTCCACTGAGCTACACCAGCCAGGGCTCTAAAACCTTTTTTTAAATGAATCTTTTAACTAGTACTGTACCTATAATACCAAATTCTGGTCATACATATCTTGCCTCCCCAACTGCTGAAGAGTGGCTGAGCCCCTTTTCCAATAAAAGTTCGAGGTGCTGTAACAAACAGTTTACTGATGCCTGAATATGTGACATCTGCTGCTTTTCCCATCATCTGCCAAATCGTTAATTCCATCAAGTATCAGCCATTAAACTGGCGTTTAATAAGACATGGCTCCGTTCTCACTCAGCTAAGACGTCTGAGCAAACATCCCCGATGTTCTCCTGCATCAACAGTTGGCTTCAAGCAGAGGAACACTTTTCTCCCGTGGAGACCATCGCTGCGTCTTCTGGGGCTCCTTCCTCCACCTCCTGCCCAGCGGTTCTTGCTGTTGCCAGCTGGGCCAAGTTCCTCCTTTGGCCAAAGCTTGGCTTCATTGATTCTTTTTTTTTTTTTTTAATATTACAAAGTCATTGGTGCAAAACAGACAAATCAGTGAAATAAGTCAGAAACAGACCCTATTCTAAGTAAGAAGGAGAGGATTTTCAAAAGAAATCACAAACCAACGGAGAAGATGATGCAGAAGCATGCGGTGAACTAATGCTGGACCAGCAGGTTAGTAATTCAAAAAAGAAATAGACCTCATTTTAGAGCCTGTTTCATACTATACTTCAAAACCAATTCCAGATGAATTTTTTTAAAGCCATTTAGAAACTAAAGATGGAGAGGGAGCACTCTGATAAAAGAAACACTTTTCTGAGTCTTTAGAAGCAACAAAGCAATTTCCAAGATGACAAGGTTTAACATTTCTAAGTATACTCATCTGGCCTGTACTTAATGAATGGGACTACTTTAAAGAAAATGGTAAAAGTTAAAAGGCAAAACAACATGGGCAAAAAAATCACAGCAGACTATAACAGAAATATATCTATTATATGTAGAACTGAAAGAACTAGAAGAAAAATGAAGTCAACTACAGCACACTCACCCAAATGAGTATTTTACAGCTCTCGGCTGTAGACTGAAAGACAACACACTACCGACACGTGGAGTGAAGTTAAGTGAAGGGGAGCGGGACGTGACATTGTAGCTGCAGCCACTTCTCACTGCACGAAAGCGGAAACCACACACGGGAGCCACGGGAGGGGAGCATCGGGAAATGTCATCTGTGGTTGTATCAGGTTGGCAGAGCTTGTTTGCTTTTTAATTTTGCTTTTTTTCCTCTTGTCCAAATGTGTGGTTATACTCTACAGTGAAATAAATACATTTTTAAAATGGCATCGGTTTTGGCATTTAAAGTCACTGGGGGTGAGTGGAGCTGGGGCCCCTCCCAGAGGGTACACTCTGCCCCGCTGGTCCAGGTGGGGCCGCCCCGGGATCACCCCACTTCCCAGCTGGGCAGACATGCACCAAGTGCGGGGCAAAAAAGTGCGGGGCCTCAGTCCAGGGCAATGAATGTTAGGTGGCGTGTGTTCCTCTTCTCGAGTCTCCAGCCTGACAGACCCAGCACAATAGAGATCTCTGGAAGGGTCGTCACGCCAGAGATAGAAAATGAAGGATTAGAATCCTCATTTTGTGGAAGTCTCCTGGGTGTCACCCCCAATCCATTGTAGAGCCCCAAAGAAGGGAATTTGTCTGCTAAGCCAAGTGTAACATCTAATCATTTATTAGGTACCTACTACACCACCCAGAACTGCACTGTGGTGGTTTTAAAGCTATGTCCACAAATTCTTTGATATTTCTCCCCCAAAGAGGAGCTTAGTTCCTGTTGGGTGTGGGCTGGACTGACTTACAGCAAATAAAATACGTCAGAAATGATGGGATGTCATTGTCAAGACTGAGTTATTGAAAAGTCGCATTCACCCACCGAGAGGCGGTGCCCCTCACCCACAGTCCTCTCTGTCTCTGGGGCCCCTCCCTGGGGGAGGCCGCCTGTCACGTCGAAAGGACATCCAGTACATAGAGGCCCACAAGGCAAAGAATTAAGAGCTGCAACAGCCATGTGAGTGAGCCTGGAAGTGGGCCATGCTCCAGGCCAGGCTTCGGATGACCTCAACCCTGGCCACCACCTTGAACATGGCCTCATGAAAGACCCTGAGCCAGCACCACCCAGCTAAGCAGCTGCCTGATTCCTCAGTCAGAGAAACTCGGAGATAACGCTTTGTTGTTTTAAGCTGATAAATTGGGGGGGGGAGTATTGGTTACACAGCAATAGATAACCAATACATGCATTAAATACCTACATTAATTTAACTCTCATGACAGTCCTAAGAGGTAGATATTACTATTCCTATTTTCCAGATGAGGAACACGAGGCTGAGAATGATTACACAGCAAGTCTGTGGTATGGTGCTTGAAAATCCACCTCCTTCGAGCCATCCTTTAAATATTAAATCATTAAAGCAACCACCTCCTCATCACCATCCATACAAGTTCCCCTCAGGTGAACACTGGGTAACAAAATATCGAGACCAAATCTAAGAAAGTGTGTGGTTCCCACGGGAAGGCAGAAACATGTTGAAATGACACGAAACGTACCCTCAAAAAGAGTACTACCCCGCTGCACCAACCCAGACGCCCTGTGACCCAGGCAGGGTCGGATGACCCCGGATGGGAAGAGGAAAGCTCTGAGTCTGGTGCATCAGCCCTCACCAGGATTCAGCCTCAGGACACCGGCTCTGACCAATCGCAGCGTCCTCCCCAGACCAGCCTGGATTCCTCCGCAGAGAAGAAACCTAGGCTGCACCGTTTCGCTGCAGAGGCTTGTTTTTTTAGCATGGTCAAAATGCCGACTGCGGTATGGTTTTTGTCAGACTGCAGGCTTTAAAAAAGCATTTAATTCAATCTGCCATGCCAGACAGAATGTAAATCTGCTACAATTTGAAGCTGACGGGCAAATATATGAGATGCTGTCGCCCAAGTATTTAATCTGAGTACATCACACCATCAAGCCATCAAGCCTGAGATGAAAAATAGCTGCAACAGATGTACTCAAGCTGGGAGGGAAGGCCCAGCGGAGCGTCTCACTCCTTTGTCAGTTCTGCATAAATGAGGTTGATTGGCCCGCTCTTCTGCAGAAAGCCCCAAGCTTAGAGCAAACTGCAAAATCTTTTAAAACTGTGTCACTTGCTTTTTCATTCTTTTTTGAGACATTGCCATCCCAGACCAGTTTCTCACATCATTCCAAATCGCTATACATTAATTAGGTGGAGAAAATCCTACCAACAGAAAAAGCCAACAATGCACTCTCTCAGAATGTTCGGTTGTCATTATCCACCATCGTGGTTTAGAACAAAGCAACTGCAAAAATACAGGAGACACCAACTGGGCTTTGGTTCTAAACAAACCAGTCTATTGGGAAAAGGAGCCCAGAAGCTTCTATTGTAGGGACTGTAGTAGGTAAACAAATGGCCAAAAATTCTATGACAACTCCGATCAAGACATGGGGTCTATGTCCCACACCCTTGAATTAGGGGCCCTCTGGGACTGTTCGACCACACCAATGGTGGGAGTGATGCCATGACTGTTTCTGGGCACAGGCCCTTAGAGACTGGAGACTGCCATCACCTCTCCAGGGACCCAGCCACCCTCCGGTGGGGAAGCTCCAGGGAGAGAGGCCCATGTGACAGCCAGCACCAACTCGCAGCCGCGTGGATACACCATCTTGGAAATGGATCATGCAGCCCTACGTGACCTCCCCACGTGGGGCAGAGATAAGCTGCCACAGCCAAGCCCCACCCAAATTTCATGTTTATGAGCAAAATACATTCTGGGGTGGCTTCTTATACAACAATAGGTTAAGTGGGATAGGTACCATGGAGCAAAATATGAGGTGATTAGCGAGGGTAAACTTGTAAGAGCAGGCATAATATCTGCATTAGCTATTATTAATAACCGTATTATAAAGATAATTGCAGAACACGCCCATCAGGGCACTCTATGTACAACATAGCTATGGTAGCGCCCGCTTTGGTGTACCTACACTGAGGGATCAATGACAGAGGAAGGGAAAAGAAAAGAAGAATGAGCAAGCCACATCCAGGAAGCCATGCCTGGAGACTCGGTATACACTATGTGGTTGCCCGAAATCAACTGGTGGAGACTGGGGAGTCTGATGTCTGTCCCCCTTTCAGGTGAGCCACAGCAGCTGCTGCCATGTGCACGTACAAGTCTGCAAGACAAACAGGTGTCTCACCGAGTTCTAACGCTCCGCACTCAAAAGGGTCCACACCTGTGCAAAACTGAACTGGCCCAGCACGACTTTCACTGATCGGAGGACCCTCCCGCAGCATCAGAGACTTCCCAGTTTTGCCAGAGCCTGTGTGACGTGCATGTGTATGACTGGCACGCATGCCTTCCTTTGGAGAATCCACCCAACTCTATGGGGGCCATCCACCATGGGGACAGACACGTGCAGGCTGGCCATTCAGTGACAGCCAGCATTGGACATGTGACTTGAACAGGCCTAATCAGTCTTGCCTGAGACTTGATATGTGGACCCAGGGAGGGAGAAGAACGTTCCTCTTTTCAGAGTATAAAACCAAAGCTTGTCTCCTTGTGACTGGTAGCAGCCATCTTTCCCACCTCATAGAGAGTGACGCCAACGTGCTGCAGAAAACAAAACAAGGGACAAAAACTCCCAGGTGACATTCCCTGGACCCTGATCCCGTCAGGGCCAAAGGTAGTGGCACCCTTGAACGTGGCAGTTATATGGCCTAGTAAGTCCACTTGGATGAACTGATCTGAGTTGGTTACCGACACCACAGAAGAGACCTGACTTACACAGCCTCAAGGAGGGACATTCTTGGGGGCAGGCTAAGGGGCTTCTATTCACAGACACCAACACTGAAGCCACCTCTCACTGCAGTCTTTCTTCTCTCTTCTCGTGCATCAGACACGCATTATGTTCAGGTTAGGGTTAGGTACTTCATCAGTGGGGGGCGGAGCTTCACAACACATTAAAAATAACAGTAAGTTGTCTGTGCTGGGCATCTGGAGGCTGGAATGGAGACAGAGCCCCAGAATCCCTCTTCTCATGGAGCTTGCAGTCCAGCAGAGGACACAGACATCAGACAGCAACCAGGCCTCAGGGTACAGGCAGGTGCTCAGGGATGTCATGTCACGTCCTAGTCCACTCCCCTCTTTTCCCACTGATGACATTGTGACTTACAACAAGAAATATGTGCCTGGTCGTTGCCCTGTTTCTTTGACCCCCTGTCCCGTCATGGGACCTCACCTGAATGACCTCGCCTAAACCTGCTCACCACTCAAAGGCCATACCCCACACACCATCCCAATGGTGATTACAGCTCCAACCTATGAACTTTGGGTGGACACAGACATTCAGCCCATAACAGACTGCATCTGTCAAACATATTATGCCTTACAGACTGTAGGCCATCAATAAGTCTTCCTTGTGTATGAAAACAACTGGGCCAAGCCCTGGGTTCTAGAATGATCTCTGTAAAACCTGGTCACTGATTCCTTTGAGGATACCCTGAGTTATCTTAACTGCCCAGAGCAGCTGCCCCCTCCTGCCTCACCACCCTTAGACTGCGGCTCGGCGCTCCAAGGGCCGATGAACACGGCTTCAACTCGGATCCAGTGGGAAGCCTCAAGACAGCTCTAGACAAAGAAAATTAACTATTGTTCCAACATAAAAACAGTTCACTGAATTCCAAGAAAGAAACAACTTTGTCCTCCAAGAGCCATGAGTTTCAGGAAACATGAAGCAGAGGAGACATGTATCGTGTGCACATATGTGAGCAAAAAGTAAAAATAAGGGACATGGAGTTTGTTCCCAACTTCTGCTTGTTTATTGAGCTGAGGAGTTACCCCTCATAGAACAACTGAGTGATGTCCTAGCTGGATAGTTCAGATGGTTGGAGTATCATCCAGATACGCCAAGGTTGTGGATTCACTCTCTGGTCAAGGCACAGACAAGAATCAACCAGTGAAGGCATAAATAAGTGGAACAACAAATCAGAGTCGATTCTCTCTTTCAAAAAATATTAAATAAAAATTCTGGAACAAAAAAAAATGCAGTATCTTAAATGAAAAGTTCACTGGATGGGTTTAACAGCATGTAGGAGATGACAGAAGAATGTATCAGTGGCTCAGTGGACTGAGTGCAGGCCTGTGATCTAAAGGGTCACTGGTTCGATTCCCAGTTGGGGCACATGCCTGGGTTGTGGGCCAGGTCCCCAGGGTAGGGCGTGTGAGAGGCAACCACACATTGGTGTTTCTTCTTCTCCTTCCCTTGCCCCCTCTC